CCATGCGAATACCTTCGGCTATCAGCATTTGAATGACAGGTAGGCAGGATCCTAGCAACCCCATCAACCGTAACCAATCCCTGCAGCGGCATCGTACACAGACAGTGTGAGTCCGTTGTACATAGGTTGGTGACATTAAAGAATTCCGTTTCTCGTTTCCGAAGTTAATCTCTCTTTTAGATTAATGGAGCTGGGCAGTTAGCATAATACAGCTTCATGTCAACTAGCAAGACGCCTACGTCAGTAAGTGACACTCGTGTCAGACTTTTGACCGTGACGCCCAGTGCCTTAGTTTACAATGTGCCTTGCGGTGGCGTGGGTCATGCAGCGCCACCTCAGCTAAATGATTACAGGCGCATCCCTTTGAGATCGAGTTCGCTTTCTGCTGCCATCAATACAGCGCCAAGAGGCCACTCTGTAGACGAAGAAAGGCACAGCACTGGGGCGGCATATCTATTGATGTATGCATAGATGGGTGCAGAAACACAGAGGGGAAATGGCAAAGCAGTACTGGGTGACTGTCAGTTAAGAGCCGATGAACGACGAACAGACAGACAAGCACTAGGCGTCATTTAGCAAGTGCCTGTGTGTTGAAGTAAAGCATGAAGAGAAGCGATGAAAAGCGGGAGGCAAGAAGGGAGTCTGCAGTCCCTCAGGTCTGCTTTCAGCGCCAAAGTCCTTTGATAGCACAGCTCTCATTCGATTCGCCTGATTAGCCAACACCATCCACGGACTGACTGCAACTGTGGCAGCAATCACCGTGCCGTCAGTTGGCTCAGCCCCAATTTGGGCCCCACATTTCCCGAGTGTAGTAGACCGTCTCGCCTCGTAAGGTGAGATCTGCAATTTGCACCACATCCTCAAACGCGGAGTTGTGGCGAGGACGGGTACCCTATCAACTTTCTACAGATTAGGGAAGAAACAAGCGATGACACCTGATACGGTACAAGAACACATGCAAACAAAATGCAAGTTAAATGTTCCATGAACGTTTCGAATGCCCTCTTCTCTCATGGAAACAGCTGTCGCAAATTTCGGGGAAGACGTAGCAACCAAAGGCTGTGTGCCTCCACAGTTGCTCCTACTGTCTTACATTGGGTAGTTTGAACCACTCCAGGGGGATAATACAATTCCACTCCACCATCCACCCCAATGCCAACTAATTCCTCATAATGAACGCAGTCCTTGATAAGTCCCAAAGGCACACAACCGTGTCCTCGTCGAGGGAAAATGCATCGTCTCCACATTCGATACATCTCCCCTCGTAGTGCTTCCAGGGTTTGGATGGCTATCCACTTCTGCGTTCTGCTCCACACATTACCGAGCATAGCTTGGAATAAATGGAAGCAGTTGGAAGGAGACTGGGAAGGGGTGCTAAATTATGGGGGAACCTAAAAGTATGTAGCGAGAGAAGTTTGTCGCACAAAATCACTCACATTGCGATTAATACAAGTTTCGAAGTGATATAGACGGCAAGTAAATGCGGTGCAAAAATAGGCTATTTGAGTTCAGGTTTTCATATTTGCTGTCAGCGCCGAGTCACAGATAAGGAATTTACTACTAGCTACGAGATAGCAAAACGACATCTACTGTAAAAGCACAATTAGCTGCATGTGCCACTTAGTCCTCCCAATACGTTACTCCACCTGTGTGACGCGGTATCACGACTAAGTCCATGGATGCACAAGTGCTGGCCTCAGCTATGGCCAGGATGCGCAAGGGCGCCAGTACCCGTTGTCATGCCACCGGTTTTTTGGATTCTATAATCTGATGAATGACAACAAACAGGCGCGCTGGATGGAATGCAGAGGCTATCTGAAGAAGATATTAATAGAAGACGTAGCAAGCGTCTGCCGATAACACCAGCTAGCGCTTCAAAAGCTATGTGCCTCCAGAGTTGCCCCTAATGTCTTACATTGGAGGGTTTGAACCACACTACGAGGATGGTAGGAATCCACTCTACCATCCATCCCAGTGCCATTGTAATTGCACACAATGAATTTGGACCTTGATAAGTCCCAAAGGCACACAACCGTGTCTTCGTTGTAGGAGGATATACCGTCTTCCCATTCGATACATCTCCTCGTAGTGCTGCCAGGGTTTGAATGGCTATCCACTTCTGCACTCTGCTCCACATATTATCAAGCAAATTTTCAAGTAGATGAAAGTAGTTGGGAGGAGACTAGAAAGGGATGCTAAGTCATAAGAGAGCCTAAAAGTATGTGGTGATTGTAATTTGTCGCATAAAGTCACTAGTATTGCGATTCAAACAATACAAAAAACACGATAAATCATACGTTACAAACCATTTTTACCTGATTAACGTTTGAAGCAATATCAAACATGATGCTCGCATTTGATTTTGCGTGATAATACCTCCACGCTTATTGCATAATGCTGCGATTGAAACATATATTCCCATTGATTTAAGGGGAATAAATATCGTTTGTTCCAAGTAGGGTCGAAAATTTACCACTAATGCACTTCATTCCCGTATAAATGATGCCTGGCCAGCCAAGATCTAAATGTTATTTAAATTAACAGCAAATCCAGCATAAGAGAGTTTCAAAGTGACCAAGTACAAAATTGGTCATCACAGCAAATGGACATAATTCAGCCCTTGTCCTATATTTACAACAAAAAAAACGGAATAATTTTTAGTGTGCTCTCCCTGTAGTATTGCATTCTGTGTGCACGTAAAAATGCTCAAAAGTGAATTTTATCTAATTAGAATATGCAGTACAAAATGCTGTTCAAAACCACCATTGCAAAAAAAAAGTCGTAAAATGTCGTGACATCAGTTAACTACTATTGCTAAACCGTAACTGTTACATTCGTCACTACGATTATCCTGCTCTTTTCGCAATGAATTCATTTTGCAATGTTTTGCTCTCCTGAATTTAACTATTAATGCTTGCAAGTCATTGTGCAAATATGTGAATTGCCCTGTAAGAATAACCCCTTTTTTTGTAGAAAATGCATATTATAAGATTATTTGAATTCGAGTCTCAGCCTATTCGGTATCTACAATAATTAGGTGAGCAAACTGTTAAGTGGACGAAAGACGAAATTTTCTTTTTTTTGTAGTACAATCCATCCAAATGTAATTTTTTTTCCCATTTGCATTTTATGAATCGATTTTGAAGCTATGATGCCCTAAAACTATGCACAGGTTTGTATTTCTATGTGTGGTTCTACCCTAGTAAAGGAAATAAGTAAAACAGAATTAACCGCTTTTTGATCAACATCAAATTATAGGTAGTTTACATTGCAAATTTTAACTTCTTATTTCAATCGCTTTGCAGGTTTAGGTTTCCAAAAGCGAGTAGCAATTGTCCCTGATAAGTCCGTTTTATTTGATTTCGTCTACGTTTTTATCACCCTAACCACCTCACCTTGCCTGTTTTGGCATTTTTTCATCTTCATAAACTACACCTGTATTGATCAGAGGTTTTCCGTGTGTTCGTATGAATGTGTTTGTAGAAATAACTTTATAGTTTGTGATAGACAAATCATTTGGATAAATAGAATGCAGGCTTAGCCGATTTGGTGGCTATAGTAATGAGGTAAGCCAGTTGCGAAATGAATGAAAATTTAACGCACTAAAAAACGCTCCTATACACACGCTGCCCTATTTCTTTATTCGTAATTCTTCGTGAATGATTTCGAGTCTTTCGACAGTATTCGTGGGTACCTAATTGGAAAAATGTGTACGAATATACCGTTTGATGATTTGGTGGAAGTAAATTCGACCATGCTAAAATGAGTAAAGGACATTCAATTACAGGTCTGGTTGCACCATGTAAAGTAGGTGTTGTTGCAGCAATGTTTGACAGGAGTGTAAGTGTATGCTGCAAAGTAGCACGCACGAACGCTTTTCCGTATGGCTCATCTGACAGAATTGAAATAGGCACGCAAGTGGAGAGTAAGGTGGAGGAGCAGACTTAACTATCCACCCTTTAGGCATAACTGCACAAATCACTACTTAAGAAATAATTGATATATACCTGCCAAACGCTGTGCCAATATTTGCTACTAGTGTGTGAAATATTAGTGATCGGATCAGATATGTTGTCAGACCAGTTCAGGCATTGCCATTTTATAGTCGTATAGTACATGCGCTGTCAGCAGTCGCCAAAATCGAGTAGACCACGTAACTCCGATGTTACCAGTTAGCTACCGCTCTTCAATTAGTCTATACTCCCCTCTCATTAAAACCCACAACTTTCATTTGCGTAGCCTATTACCAGAATACTAGTTGTTTAAGCATCACAAGCAATTTAATTTTCGAGGTTCATAAAATGAACATTCGTGATTAAGGAGCAGCGCATTAGCCTCTGCTCAGTCTATTCTGAAGTAGATGGGTGTAGTGTAGGGGACCTTCCTGACGAATAGCAGGGTATCTCGTAGACAATGCTATATGTTGGCTTGCCTGGTACCTCCTTAACCAAATCACCCCAACAAACAAATAAGAATAAAAGGTAAAATAAAACATCAACATTGCTAAATGAACATGGAGTTGATATCCCTGTTACTCTCAAGCCGCCTGGAGATCACGTCGTGACGGGCCCTCTTCAACAGTTCACTCCACTTTAAAAGCTTCTATCGATGATTCTTATTGCACCACAGTCGCCAATTTGTTCTTACGGTAGCCAATGGAGATTTATCGAAGCCACTGAGCCTTCGAAGGAATTTCGTAAGGCAATCCACCTCATTGGACGTATTCATCATTGCATTTGTAATAACAACATATACTAGTGTTTTACGGAATGCAAAAGATTCTAAAGTGGCTGTCAGATCATCCCTGTGGAATCGCAAAGGATCCACAGGGTAGATTATGCAGTTGCAGCAGCCAGGTTTATCTCGTTCCCCCAAACATGGGATCCTTCTCGTATCGTGACGCACACCACTTTCAGTAGAAGCTTTATGCGAGTTAGGTCCATGTGTCCCACCATTATTCGCACTAACTGCAAATGCGTTTATTGGAACGTACTTGGTATTTGCAACATATAGTGATGCTATCCAAAGTATACATTCGCAGGAGGATGGCAAACCTAGATTGAAGCGTAATAGAAGGCGAAAGAGTATGGAAATGTGTTGTCGGTTCTGCGCCAGCTTCGATAAGAGGCTTTGACAGGAGTCAATTTGTGCCTTCGGATATTAAATGGCTGCAAAAGCGTTTTGAAAAGAAGCTGGTGAAGGATGTGGGAAGGGTAGTTGGCAGAAACGCTTGTCCATCCAGGTCCATTGATAGATGTGCTGGCTAATGCGAGTGGAGAATGGCCGTGTGGAAAGCACTCATGTAGAGATTTACCAAATCTGAGGCATTGAGAAAACTTGCATATTTTAAATCGCAATTCAGCTGGGAGATTGGTGATATTACGTTGCAAGCTATTTTGTGCCCAAATGATTATGGAAGCATGCAAGCGTTAGTGAGGCAAAAGCTGTGTGAATAAAGCACGACGAAGAAAAATAAACTGATACATAGAGAGGAATAAAGACAAACAAATGCATAGAAATAAATAGAGACGCCTGGAACCCGCCATAATGAAGAGGTGCTAACACAGATTGACAGTGTGACAGAGATGTCATGGTTCAAGCAATTGCCGTCACAAGGGCGAACTAGATGGACCTCACCGTGTTGTTAATACATTAGTTCACTCCGTGTCGTCCAGTTGGAAATCAAGAAGTCACTGCGACTGCCTGTATCACCTATATTTTAACGATGCAAATGAAATAAACTAATACGAGAACTCGCAATACTTCATGCAGGGTGAAAACTTGTGGCAGCAGTGGCATTGATGCTGTTGGCGGTTTGCTTCTATCAGTCAACTATGTGAACTGACTACAAACAACTCCTTACGCACACGTTGAGAGGTAGACTGATCACATTCTATAAAGCGATGGCATTTATGTGGTAGCAAAGCGGTTTTCGAGTGGCTGAAATATTGTCCTACAAGATAATTTTGTACAGCCAGTAGGATTTAGCATTGTTTCGAGGAGCCAAGTTTGAAAACGACCTATTGTCAATTGTGAAAACGTGAACAAATTGTGCGTTCGGCAGGCCATGGTGTCACCTCAACGGCAATACGTCAGAATGAACGAAACTGTGGAGCCTGCACAAAAATAATTCTGCTCAGTGCCACCTTCTGTGTATTCGAGGTCTCTTCCGAGCACAGTATGTATGCTGTTTGAGTTGAAGTCCGATTCTTCTTACTTCGTTTCACTTCCTTGTTTGCATTTAAGGGCACAAACAGCGAAGTTGAATGACTCTACCACGTTTGTCATGTATCTCACTCTACCATCATTACTACGTAACATTATCCTGATTCTATGGTCCCTGGTGGATTAGCATCCTTGCATTAGTGGGACAGACCTTCACGTCAATTCGATTGAGGTGAGCTAAATTGCTGTGTTGGTCCAAATCTATGTAAATTGGACTGGTTTCGTGAGCAGTGTAGTTGGATAAGGCAAATTAAAGGTTGACACAGCATTAGAGCGACATCTTACTTCCTTATCTAACAAACCACACTCAAAATTGATTGATAAGTTGTCGTGTAAGTGAGCGGCTTGCAGAAACTGCGTAGTCTGTTCAAACCCCTCCGAGTCGATATTAAGACGCTGACTTTTGAAATGAAAAAAAAAGGCGCAATATACGAACCCTAATTTGATTCTTAAGTTCCCCATGGTGCTCATTAATAGGGTTGATGTTGGAGTCGCTACTCTCCACAGAAAAATAGGCTACCTTCACCTTCGGTAATTAATGTAACATTCGAGACTTTGTTTTGAACGCCTCCAAGCTGTCCAAAAAATGGTGAAATCTTTAGAGAAAAGTCGTGTGGAGTGAACAAAAAATGCGCTGTGTCTCCAATCATGCAACTCTTGTCTGGTGCTTTGACTGGCATTTCGAAGCTAGTAGGTTAGAGGCCGCTTAGAACACCATAGGCCTCCTGCATCCATACACGTGATATCTTGCCCAGTGATATTACCCCAACATCCAAAGTTTAATTTGAAAGCTGGGCTCCTCTTAGAGACTTCTAGACTTCACCTGCTGCGGCATGAAGTAAACTCCCACCTGCTTCAATACTGAAGAGATTCATTGGTGCTGTCGAAGTTGTACTTGTCAGGTCTCACTTCTCCACTCGACTCATGGTTCCCTTAATAGGGCATCGCGGTGCATTTGGGAACCGCCGGAATTCATTATTACATGACAAGTCCTCAAACTGTTGGTGCATGCTTGAACCCTTGCCTCCAATTACATGAGTTATCACTATCTCAAACAAGCACTCAATACATTTACATCTGCCCAGGTACATGCATTTGAATCCACGATAAAAGCGATTAATTGAGGCTGTGGGTTTGTTTATTTAGAATGAAATGTACCTTCCTCCCTCCGATATAGTGTGTCACTTGAGGACAGGTGTAGAGGAAGGGGTGCACCAGGTAAGTAAAGTGATTGAGTAAGAAACAGAAAATCTAAATGTCTACTCCGGTGGCAACTCGTATCTTCATCATCCTCCCCCTGGTTGATCATCTGCTTCCTATTCGGATGTCTGGCGGAGTGCCATGTGGTTCCTTGGAAGGCGAAGCTTCATGCTGCGTGCAAATTTTTGGACGAGGAGAAAGCAGGATTCAAAACAAAATCTTTCACCTTGATAATTGTGCGATCTTGCTGTTTTACTTCTGTCTCCGGAGAATATCTGACTCTTCTACAACCAGCGATTCAAGAGTTGACAGTCTCAGTCAGAACCATGGTTCATTGTAATGTGAGCATACAGGTGCAGTTACTTAGCCTGTCGGCAATCGCGTCTGCGATGTTTCAGAATGCAGCCTCTTCATAAGTCCCTATTTTGGGACTTTCGGGCACATCTTCATCCATAGCACCTGCGAATACTAAGAAATCAGAGAAAACTTCTGGCAGCACGCAAAGCAGAAGGCTTCTCTGCACAGTGTATTTAATATGCAAAGGTCTATTTAACTACAGTACAGCACAAAATCTGCTGATTCAACTAAGGAATTGGTCAAGTGCGCACAGCATCGTTTTATCTCACAACTTCAGAGGACCGTGAGCCGTCATGTCCAATCGTCAAGCCCAAATAATTGCACCTCATTTTGATCGCCAATTCGGGCATTTTGTTAAAAATAGGCAGTCATTGCTCTACTGAATGATGAACAACAACTAAACCTGTTTACTGATTGAATGGGAACGATGATAACATAGTCAATGTCAATGGTGACCAAATGGGACTCGCACTCTCCAGACAACTGCAGTGTGTTGAATCCCTTGGAAATTCATCGACTGTCGGGACGTGAAATGATCTGATTTCTACAATATTTCAGGCTTTTGGCGTGCTCTAGGACATTTGATTTCTAAAATTGGTTGGTTAATTCAAAGTCTTAACATTGACACGCCAAACTCTACTCGCCTGTTGCAAGTGAGTCAACGTCAACCTTCATCCAGTAGCCTTTGCTGAAGATAACTTAGTGAAAAAGTGTCAAAGAAGAGATTCCAGTCATCCTCTAGTGTCTAATGCAAAGTGGTAATCGCAGAACTTTCATGGATCTATCGAGAGTGCAGCCATGCCGATATTTCCACCTCATTTCTGCACACTTCAAGGAACCACTCCTAAAATTCACGGGGCTGGCAAATGTCAAGGCTCTATAGTAATCTAACACTGGATCATTCTACAACCCTCGCCATCCGTCTTAAGCTACAGGGTACCGCATCTAACTCTAGTGCAAAGCATTGCAACGCGCATAGCGTGTCCACCAGTAGACCAATTGGGGATTTGCCTAAGTCCCCTCCAAATTCGACTACTACTGCCATTAATGCTTATGCAGCATTAACTCACCACTCATGCATTCAATTTGGAACCCCAATTTTTCCTTTTAAAAGGAACCCGTATTTAAAAATTCCTTTGAATATTCCCAAATTATTGACATTAATTGGAAACAAAAAAGACAAATTCTAAGGTTTGACAAAGTTTTTGAATTTACTTCACCGTCATTACGTCCTTAGCTACTTAAACTTCCCATTGACTGCAAGGGTTTTACAATCCTTTAGGCTTGTTTGACCGTAAGATGCAATAACTTATTCTTGCTTGTCAAAATCGGCCTGACGGTGAAATAAGTCTATTAAAAAAAGTGCAAAGGCAAAGTTCCACAACCCAGTCATTCATTCGGCAAGTGTGATTACTGCAGCTTTTTACACAAATGCGATTTGTGGACTACTTGGATTTTGACAATTTGACCAAGAAAAGTCAGACCAGGTTCTCTGATATCCAACATTCTCTAAATGGGGTAATTTGCCGGTAACATGATTACTCATTGGTTGGGTGACACGGGATGTTAAAAATGGGATTTGCAAGCCATGATGCCAGTGAGGTGAATACAGCTGATCTCGCAGCATGTCAGTTTAGCCTCCAACTAACACATATTGCAATCAGAAGTCATGCTGGCCCAATAGTTCAACGACGTGCTTGTTAGTTCGTCACTCATCAACAATTCGTTTGGGTGGCTAAATCAACGTCGACGAGGAAGAGTTACAATGCTAGCAGGCTCGCTTCAGCTCACACACTAAATTAGGTGGATGCAGGAACAAGCAGCTCCTTTTTGCACAAACACGCTTAAGAAAAATGCATATCCGGTTTACGCCTACTTTGATCACTCACTCCCTTTCTTTGGTTCGATCAACGTGAAACACCAATGTGAATAGTTTCTACTGAATGGTTATCACCCAGGAGTTACAATAGCCACGAGACAGCAACACATTCAGTCTCATCGTCACTTCACAGCTGTACGTGGCATGAATTAGAAACGAATGCTGTAGTATATGAAGTCACTGTAAAAATTATTGAAACCATGACCAGCTTAGGCGAACTGACTTAAAGAAAAGCTTGATTTGCTTTAAAAATTTATGACTTTGCTTGCAATAAGTATCACATTCCCTTGCATATTTGACCTAACCGGGGTGACGGCTAGGCAATCTGCTGCTTGACACGAGGTCACAACGCTGGCAGCTAAACGTAGACGATATAATATCACTGTGACATGCATTAAGTGCCATACATTACATGCATTCACATTGCACTTCATGAGGTTGCGGATTTGTAGCTATCTTTTATGTCTGCCTATCTTACTCAAATATTTGTCCGATTCTTATTCTTGGAAGCAGGCCGTGACAAATTGCGTGGGCCGCATTCATGTGCTGATTGATTTCGGTCTTTGCCACTTGATGATGCACAGCTGAATTTGGGGTTTAATAACGACAATGGGAGCTGCCCTTTCCCAAATACTCATTTAATTTATGAGTCGCCTAATTCGCACTCCGCTAATATCTGCCACTTAGGAGAACTTGAACAAAAGTCAATTTGTCTACATTAGATTTAAAAGTAATGTGGATGATTGCATTTACATTTGGTTCGAACTATACAAACCCTTACCATTTTGCATTACAAGTGGTGGTGATGGTCAGCTAGGAGCAGAACCATGATATGGCAGGCACCATTGGCAACAATGATTCACAAATGGTCGGCTTTAAAAGACTTGCATCATAATCCATCACCTAACGGTTAAGGCTTTAAAGTGGTGCAGCTGCGAGCAAAAATCACCGCATTTATTGAACCAGCGTGACAGTGATGGGCTGGCCATATTTTACTCCATATGGTAGTCATTGCAGCTGGTTCCTCATTCTTTGGGGGCTGGATGTAATGCAGTCGATTTGCATCGGCTCTTATAAGTGTCCTACTTATGCGTGACTCAAAGCTGATTTGCAGTCGCAGTTGCAGTGAATGTGTTACCAAATCGCACGCCGTACCTCCTGTCACATCACTTTTTGTCTGGATACTTGCCATTGACAAGAAGCGAGTAGCATGAGTGAGTGAATTAAAATAATCAAAGCGATTGCGAATGGTCTCGTAAGGTGTGTTGATAAAAAGATCAAATTTGCAAGTAGGTCTTCAGCTGACACAACTCAAAGTAGTATAAGTTGAGGTAGACTTGTAAGGCATCCGAATTTAGAGCTAACTCTCTCAAGATAAAGTCAAGCTGTTTCCGAAAGATTTAACGCAAATCAACCCTGCGTTCATCCACATTCTTCTAACCTGATTTTGATTTTAATAATTTCTTGTCGTAACTTTATTAACCACGGCATTAATCACTAATCTGCATCACGTACGGCTTTGAAGTAACAGCTCATTCGTCAGTGACGATGAGACTGAATGCGTATTTGCCTAGTGGCTGTTGTACCTCCTGGGTGACAACTATTCAGTAGAGAATATCCAAATTGCTGTTTTAAGATGATCTAATTAAAGAAAGTGAGGGTGTGATCAAAATAAGTGTGCACCAGATATGCATTCTTCTGAAGTGTGTTTGTGCAGGCAATGGTTGCTTGTTTGTGCATTCGCCGAATTTGGTGTTTGAGCTGCAGTGAGCATGTTCGTATTATTACCATTCCTCATCGACGTTGACTTGGCCATCCTAACTATTTGTGATTCCACAGCTAACCTACAACCACGCCGATGAACTATTGAGCCGACCTGACTTGTGATTGCAATGTGTCAGTCAGTTGGAAGTCAAATTGACGTATTGCTGGACCAGCTGTTTTCACTTCACTGGCATCATGATTTGCGAATCCCATTTTTACCACCCTGTGTTACTTAACCAGTGAACAATCATGTTCCAGGCAAACTATCCCCATTCAGAGATTGCAGGATATCAGATAACCTGGTATGATTATTCTTAGTCAAATTGTCAAAATCCAAGTACTGTACAAATCACATTCTCGTAAACAGCTGTAGTATTCACACTAGCTGAACGATTGACAGGTTTGTGGAATTTTGCCTCTGCACCCTCTTTAATAAATTTCTTTCGCCGTAGGGCAGGTTTTGACTAAAAAGTACCACTTATTACATCTTACTGTAAAACAAGCCAAAAGAATTACAAAGCCCTAAAAGCAAGTGCGGATACTGAAGCAGCTTAGGACGCAGAGTAAGTGCTGCTTTATTGCTTAAGGCGTTTGCATTGAAGGTGGGTAAATTCAAAAAATTTATTAAATTCTAAAATTTTTAGTTTCTTGTTTTTAGCTGACGTCAAACATTTTGGAATATTCGAAGAATTCTTGAATATAAAAATTCTTTTAAAAGGAATAACTGAGGTTCAAAATTGAATACATGAGTGGTGGTTTAATGCTCCATGGGCATCAGCGGCAGTAACAACAGAATTTGGAGGCGACTTGATCAAAACCAGGATCGGACTAGCGGTAGACACTCGATATGTGTTGCGATGCATTGCGCTAAAGTGAGATGCGGCGCTGTGTTGCTTAAGGCGGATGGCAGGGTTTGCAGGATAATCCAGTGTTGAGCCACTACAGTGCGTTGACATCTGCCTGCATCGTTAATTCTAGGAGTGGCTCGTTGAAGCGTAAATGAATTAGATGGAAATATTGGAATGGCTGCACTCTCGAGAGATCTGTGGAAATTCCGTAACTAGCGCCTTGCGTCAGACACTAAAGGCTAACTGATGCTTATTCTTTGACGCTATTTTACTAAGCTATCATTAACAAAGCCTTTTAAATGAAGGTTGACGTTGACCCACTTTTAACAGGTGAGTAGAATTTTGAATGTCTGTTTTAGGGCTTTGAGTTGACCAGCCAATTTTAGGAAGCAGATGTGACAAAACACGCCTAAAGCCTCAAATATTCCAGAATGCAGACCAGTGTACGTCCCAACAATCGATAAGTTGTGAAGGAGCGCATTACACTGAAGTTGTCTCAAGGGTGCCAGCCCCATTTGGCCACCATGGACATCGACTGTGCTATCGTCGTTTCCATCCAACTACCATGCAAAGTTAATTGAGGTCCATCATTTTGCAGAGCAAGAACCGCATGATTGTGTCAGGATGTTCGAATTGACCGTCCTTTCTGTTGTTGGGCCAGCCTTCTTTGATGACGATTGTGAGTAAGATTGTATCTTTTTGCTACACTTTAACACATAAAATCAATGATTGCCTCAGCACTGTTTGTTACATTAGACAAAAATTTTATGGAGAAAATTTATGTGTGTCACCCAGATTATGCTTGAGCTTGTTATTCAATTGCTTATACAGGTAAAAACAGTTTAATAATAGCCTAAAATATTTTGCACTATCTCCTCAGAATGTACTATCTGTGTTATATTTTGGTTTTTTGTACCATTATTTTCTTTCCTATATACCTTTCTATGGCGATGATTATTGAGGTAGAATGGCTTCTCAGGATCTACGCATGGTATATCAGTCCATCACTTCTCGATCACAAGCACTACCTAAAAAGATTTGGATGGGCTATCAAAGTTTACATTTTTCTTGGGGTGTTGTCGCCTTCTTTTTACATCCCCTCACAAATTGCTTACCTTAATGTTGAAACTTCTCTTCCTTATTTGCATCTCTGATACTGCTTTAAGTACTTTAAGTACTTTGCACAACTAGACATTTAGTCGATCTTGCTACCATCTGAAGCCTAATTATTTATCGCACGCAGCAATTATTCGTCGTTATGGAATATAATATTGCGCAATTTGAAGTGCGCTTTGTTGGTAAGCCACAATAATTGGTGCCTCTTTTACTTCCACTTCTTTACTTCGACACTAATGAACGCATTATCAAGATCTCGGAGGCTGCCTAACTTCCAGTCTTTGATGGTGATAACTATGCAAATGCAATAAAAAGTACAACTACATTCGCATTTAACAGGGCTCCTCTTATCTAACTGGTCAAAATGCTGAATTCGTATAAGATCTGCTTCATACAATGGTATAAGTCAATTTTACATAATAATTTTTGTCCGCGAAATCGTTTTAACTATTTGCATTAACAAGGCTAAATAGCGTGGTGCAAGACAATAATGGCCCTTACTTATAGGAAAAGCAGTAATTCCTATTCAAATTAAATATTACTGGCCACTTTATTTTACCGCAGCAGCAGTTAATTTAATGTAGTGAAATAGATGCTTTTAGCGCAATTTCGGATTTAAAGCGAATATGGTGTATACAAGTCTGATAGCCGAACAGTAGACTCCGGAAGAGTGTCGCTGGAATACGTAGCATATAATTTGAATTAGTGAGATGGTTTGGACACTATTCAGAGAAACAGAAAGTCCTAGGAGATAAAACAGAATTATACTTAATGGGAATAATCAGCAGTATTCCAAAATTTGTTAGTATAGAGTCGGGTGCATCGGCGCAACCTTGGATACATTAACTTTACAGAAGGTTACCCAAATGGAGTGGGGACGTATATTCTCTGCTGCAACACGCACCGGTTTTACTATTTTAGCGTAGGTAATTGGCGATTTGCCCATTATTTTAGAAATCCAAGAATTAAATTTGAACCTTCTCAACTGAATGTAGAACATTATAGCTCATGAGTAAATCCGAATAATAAACCTGATAAACTAGTTACATAAAGCAGAAATTACCATGTTTGTAGTTATTCATCGATTACGCGACGGCTTTGGCCATTGCCCTTAGGACGTCTTTTGCCCCAAATTTTGCTTCATAAATTGACAAGCAAACAAGCCAAAGGATTACAGGAAAGAGGGTATTCTGCATTAGGAAGCGGCTTTAAAAGGTAAAAACTAGCCTTCTGCAGTTATTCTTTCAAATAGCTTTTAGA